TATGGACACAGCTATAGACACAGCTATAGACACAGCTATATACACAACTATAGACACAGCTATATACACAACTATGGACACAAATATAGACACAGCTATAGACACAGCTATTGACACAGCTATAGACACAGCTATGGACACAGCTATGGACACAGCTATATACACAACTATGGACACAGCTATAGACACAGCTATAGACACAGCTATATACACAACTATAGACACAGCTATGGACACAGCTATAGACACAGCTATGGACACAGCTATGGACACAGTTATATACACAACTATGGACACAGCTATAGACACAGCTACAGGTACAGCTATGAACACAGCTATAGAAACAGCTATAGACACTGATATGAACACAGCTATATACACAGCTCTAGACACAGCTCTAGACACAGCCATGGACACAGCTCTAGACACAGCCATGAACACAGCTATATACATAGCTATAGACACAGCCATGGACACAGCTATAGATACAGCTATAGACAAAGCTACAGACACAGCTATAGACACAGCTATCGACACAGCTATCGACACAGCTATCGACACAGCTATAGACACAGCTATAGAAAACGCTACAGACACAGCTACAGGCACAGCTATAGACACAGCTATGGACACAGCTATATACACAACTATGGACACAGCTATAGACACAGCTATAGACAACGCTACAGACACAGCTATGGACACAGCTATAGACACAGCTACAGGCACAGCTATAGACACAGCTATAGACACAGCTACAGGCACAGCTATAGACACAGCTATGAACACAGATATAGCCACAGCACTCTAAATGACGCGAAGCTCAGCTGAGTTATAATTTATTCGAATACGAATACATACCTTTGCAATTAGGCTGTTGATAACTCCACCAACCATTTTGTGCTGTGGATGACCCTGCCGGACCATTACACGTGACATCCTGTACCCCATCAATAATATAGCCTTCCTCACAATTATGAGTACATCTACTGGTCTGCGCATTTGAGTTGGTACAGGTAACGAAACCATGGTTTATATCAGATAACGGGGGATGGCATCGCCGCACTGAAACGGAAAATCTTGAGATGGTATACGAAATACAAAAGCTGATTCCCTATTTTGCGTGCCCAGCATCATTCAAATAATCATGTTTGTTAGAATATTCTAACTAAATCACTAGTAATATCATTAATTTACACAAGTATGTGAATACTTTGCCAATGTGTATACCAATCTGTTTTGTCATCTTTCGTATGTTCATAACAGTTGCTCAAATGAATTGTCAAATTGTATGCAGTTTACAGCATTCACTGAAAAGTCGTTTTCACTGAAACAAGTAGGTTGATTGGCGATCCACCAGGTGGCGCACACTATCATTTTGCTGACCGTTGCCATCGCAAACGGTAGATCAGAAATGTTATTTTTTATCAAAGTTTAAACAAAGTTGGTCAAGGCAAAAAAATGCAGAAGAATTAGTACATAGGTCTAGCAATACTTACATTGAACCGACAACAGAATGTTATTTCATGAACTTGCGCGTTAGAATTGAACACTTGACGGATTTGATCATTTAATTAATTCCAAGACTCGTTAAAGTTGAATGCTTTATTTGAACATT